GGGTTCCCACGTGTGTAACGGAGTTCCTTCTCTTAAAGTAAAACCAATCTAACCATTAAGAGAAACAAAGATTTTGAAAAATGATAGACAGGGAAAACTGACTTTGAATCTCCTATTGTGAAAAATGCGTATTACCTCCATTCTCATCCATACTTATAAAGATACAGACGTAGTGACCTTCGACCTGGTCACAAGTGCTATGTTTATACAAGTGCTTATGTTTATACTTCTTTTGTTCCCAAATCATTGTAGCTCTACTCTTTGGAAATTGCTTTTAGAGCTGACTTGTCAATCATGAAGAGAGTATGACCCAAATTTCTACTGACCCCATTCTCACCTCGGTCATATATATTCATCGTCAGATCTGACTCCATGTTTTGGCAGTTTCTGGAGTCAACCATCTAGGAAGGTGGCTTTCCAGCCCTAAGAAGAGGGAGAAGAAGATGCTCAGATTGAAGGCAATGCTTGGTCCTTTCACACCTGAGCATTGATGTGATACAGCTAGGGAATCCTTTAAACTCTGCGGCCCTTTGTAACCTGCTGCATGGACTTTCTAATCACGTCGCGCCTGTGAGGTTTTCCCAGCGTAGAACCCGGGATCCATCACCATTCGTAACTCTGCTAAGCAGTAAGTCTATTTCTGGAAGTAACGACCTCGTAGGCCACTCGAGGAGGATGTATCAGCGCATCCATCTTTCATGGAAGCTCGGATACCCCTCTCAGCACAAGGTAAGTAGGCGATGGAGACTTGCCGCATCCATGATCCATTTCACTGCCTGATGGTCCTCACTGCCGCTACTGAAGACGCCACAGAAAGACCAGAAGAGATGCTCCAGAAATAAATCTGCCCTTTTAATGAGAACCAATAGCAATCAGTTTGTAAAACACTCACTGTCAGGACTCAGCCTCCCAAATTCTTGCTGTAACAATAACAAGAGGGTGTAACTGATATCCTTTGGTTGTGCTGGAAGTGGTCTTAATAAGGTGGCCGTTAGCTAAAACTCACGCAAACCCACGACAAGATCAGTCCTGCCTCAGATGGGGTCCCTTCCCGCTGCAGGGAGACAGCACTGCAGAAAGAATGAGGAGGAAACACATCTGTTTTCCCCTTCACACCCACACTGTCAACTTTCCATTGCTTTTACTGGGGTGGGTATTTATTATTTCAGAATGTATTATGTTTTAGGACTAGAAAATCAATGCAGTCTATCCTAAGTGACTTTGTTGTAAATCCAGCGTGAATTAGGAACTCCTCCGATAATCACTGGTGAGGTCTACGCTCTGACCGATGAAGTGCATGACCTTCCATGAGATGCATACTCAGGAGGGAAAGGAATACAGAACGCTTTTCTGAGCAAATGCAAGTATTTGAGCAGCCATCTGGGGCTCACTATAAAAAAGCGGTTTTGTTCCAAGGGAGGACAGACAGCAGAAACAGTTAACCAGCCCAGCCTGTACGCACTCTCACCCACATTACTGATAAAGAGATTAAGGGCAAGGCAGATGTTGACTATTTAAATGTTACCCTGCTGGGCAGAGACAAAGTCCACAAAAAACTGTTTGCAGGCTCACTGCTCTTGTCACCACTCTGTGCTGCTTTCCTGCGTATGAGTTATCAATACAATGCCATTTGTGCTAACGAACAGACAGGTAATTCTGCAGGTCAATTCAGACTCCAAGGAAGAGGTCTCTAGACCACTCTAGTCATTGTTGCGTTTTGTGATTTGATTTCTTCTGGGAAGTTGAAACATGACGTGGATGGAGACAAAGATATCAATTGAAAATTTAATTGTAAGTGATGTTTAATGCTCACATCTGTCTACTGTGTAGTGTAGTTCTGGGCCTTAGACGTGTCCATGAGCACATCCACAATAAACTTTGAATAATCCTGTTTTTATACCTTTGCATTTTAACTCCTTTGTTTTATGATTTCCTGCTCTTTTCATTTCCAAATGAGTACATTCTGTTGGCTAAATAGTTTCGTGGCAGCAAAATATGTAGCATCTTTCAAAAAACCAAATTAGGTCTCTGATGATAACGGCAACGAATTACTGCAGTAGATGGATGGAAACCCAACCGTACCTAAAGACTGCAAGCCTTTGAGGAGGAGGGTGATGAGATAAATCACCCAAAGCCAATTGTGTTTGCTTATGGGAGCAGATCCCCTACTCTTCAAAGTTCAGGACCAGGGAGAGGAGTGATTTGTCACTTGGAATCACCTGTTTTCTCAGAAGAGAAACACAGTACCTTCCCAACGACAGTTTGTTTCCACTTGTCCGGATAATCTGGATGAGGTGCAACAATGCTTTTTCCAGTGGCACTGGACTCTTACAATGCATTTAGATTTGTTTCCAATGAACACTTCCCTGCCATGGGTGTGAGGCATGGGAAGGGATATATAACCATCAAGTCAGACCACCCTTGGGGATTTTCCGAGCATCACTGCGGACCAATCTGAATCATTGCTGTTTATTCATGAAAAGAAGTTCCCCAAGGGAAAGGCTAGAGCTTTATAGCAGTCTGAACAATAACAGATGTGGGTGTGGTGCTGAGAGATACACGGAATGGGGCGGAAACAATTCACAGAGAATCCACTCTGAGTTCTGTGGTTAGGCTTCATCCTTTATTAGGTAGTGAGTAAGAGACAACTGATGGTTACAACTCCAATGTTAGCGACCATTTAAACAAAAATGGTTCCATAGTGAAGTGAGGCAGAAGGGACTCAGGTACTTCTGAGGTTTCTCATATGGCTGATGGAAAAAATATGGCTGATTTGTTTGTTCCCAGCAAATCATGAAAGTTAATAACACCTTGTGATCCAGGACTCTCGTAGCCCACAGGTCCTGACCGCTGGTGGCCTGGCTCATTCACTTTGGTGGAAATGGGGAAGAACAGTGGAAGTACATTGTAGTAAGACTGCATCCATTAACATTACGTCCTCCAGCAGAAAGAGAGGTTTTAGAGCTGTCAAGTTTGTTGGACAGGGATTCAGGCTGACTTAAGAGTGAACGGATGAAAATATCTGATGTGGCAGAAAAAGAAAATGGAAGTTCAGATGGTCAGAAGCTGGTCACGTGGGGAACAGGGACACAGCCCCAGACAACAGACTTGTGGACTCTCTAACTGGCTGAGCCGGCAGAGTCTGAGAGTGGTGGGAAAAGGAAGCGCTTGCTGAGACCAGAGGGTAGAGATACTGACAAAGGCAAAATACTCTCAAAAACAAATTCCAATTTTAACCTACGTGTTTAACCTACGTGGTTTGAAATCCCTTTTACAAAAGACTGATGGAGCACTTTTCTTTTCCTTCCTGCCTGCCCTCCTCACTCCTTCCTTCCTTCCTTCCTTTTCTGTTTTGGTTGCTTGTTTAACAAAAGATACATAAAGTCAACTGCTTTAAAGGTACGTTTATATGACAAACGTCTTTAGCTAGATGACAGAGAAGAACTCCAGAGACCATGTGTAATGTTGAGCACCAAGCACGTTATGGGTGTTTCTTAAATATAAAACGACAAATGCTAAATACCCATCTCTCAAATGGTTTCATCTTGAATCTTGAGACCTCTCCCAAGCTGACTACAATTTAGCTAAGAGCAGGTTTCAGGAAGGCCATACTTAGCCTTTCCCTAGATTTTTAAATAGTCTTTACAAAAACCTTTTCAAAAATATTTTTTTTCTCTCTAAACCTAAATCTGATAGAGTGGATTCGTACATGTCTTATCCTTGTTCTAAGTTTGAATGTCATTGTTCTTATTAACGCAACAGGCTGGCTGCATTGAACCCCGCCATAGGGACAGGTACGTGTTAGCTTTCTACGGGAAAAAAAGCAAATAGCCTTTATCACAAATTAAAGGCACAGCTATTTTTATGCCATTTGTTACCAACTTAATGATAACATGTAACATGGGATGGTTATATAATTATTTTATATAGATTTTCTTTTTTATAAGTTATTCTCTTAATCTTTCTAACATATATACAATATACATATATTTATATATACCCCTGATAAATCTTGTTTTAAAGGTGAAACATCAACTCCTTTCCAGCCTTATGGTAAGTATCGAAGGCTGTCAGGATTTCACAACTCCACTAGAGAAATGATGGTCGAGTGCATCTTCCCAGTATATATTTTTTTAATTCTATAGCCTTGGTCTGCAATGAATTCAGGCTCATTTTTCTTGTTTCACTAACATTTAAATATATATTAATTGTTTATATCATGTCAGTAGGAAATCTATAAAAACAACAACAACAAAAAAGCCCCACGAGAGCTAATGTCTACCATCCTATTCAAAGCAGAAACCTTTGCCTAAGAGACAACCCTACTGGTATGATATAAAGGGGATACTGTAGAGATGCAATGTTCTGTGTTTGTATCGGTTATGCACTAACATGGAAAAAAATCTTTACTTTGCATTCTCATGCTAGGTTAGGAACGCCCCTTTCCCGTGAAACAGAACGGTTGTACGGATTTCCTTCTGCACACCCATGATGCCCCAGTTTACCTGTTTTCATCTATAGATTCTTCACAAACACTTCCCTATTTCCAGCAACACTGTTTCAGGGTTGGGGGAAATGTACTTTGTAGGAAACCAACCAGTTTTACTGACCTCTCTCCCACCTCTACGCCTCGCCCTGTTCTTTTGTTCTGAACTTACAGTCATCTCCAAGCTGGGAAGGAGGGGATAACGTGGACCGGGGACCTTCACCACACCATCAGGTGTCGTTCGTCTTTTGACTGCTTACTGGCATGACACAGCTGTTCATCCTAACTTTTGCAATTCTTTAAAACCTAGTGGCATAGATTGAGACACAGCACTACTGTTTTACAAGACATCTACTGTATCTACTTTTGTTGGGATAAATACCCAGTAACTGCTGTCAGAGCAAGAGGACCAGCACGGGCTCTACTATTCACAGTGTTGCTTCTGTTTTTTGTTTTTTCCTTTTTTTTTCTGTATTATTTTAATCTACAGAGTAAATTATTATATACACATTGGAACCAGTTAATGCCCTTAGACAATGTATAGTTGTCTCATAAAGCAGGAAATACAATGCAGGGGGAACGAGTGCCCAAAAGCACAGTCACAAAGGCTTCAGAAATTTCTAGACACCACTACGAGTCAATGCTGGAGATCACTTCTAACACACTCAAGGAAGGTTCCAGAGGAATGCTTCTTTAATTTGGAGAAAATGCCAGCCCGCCCTCCCGCCCGCCCCCCAAGTCTCCCTCCTTTTTTTTTTTTCTCTTTTCTGTTTTAATCATCTTTTCAATTCACTATCAAAAGTCCTGGCTCTTCAGAGATACTTTAAACTATAAATAAACACTGCATAGTTCTCTTTTGTTTGTTCTGTTGTGTGTTTTTTGGAAAAAAAATTATTGCAGTACAAGGACGCCCGCGTGGAACTCAGTAGGGAGCGAACAGCACGGGGGTGTGGGCGGTCCGAATGGGCCCGGGCGCCGGGCGCAGCAGCGCGGGCGGCAGGGCCGACGTCTGGAAGAGCGTGGCTGCAGGAGCAGTTCGCAGACTGAAGGGGGCGCTCACGGCCACCGCCGCCGCCGCCGCCGCTGCGGCCAGCGGGTTCGGGAGGATTCGCGGAGCCAATGGCTTGGAAGGTTCTTTTGAAAATACTAATTTGACCTGCAAGAGGGGGAGAGAGAGAGGGGAAAAAAAAGAGTAGAAGAAGAAACGTTTTGAAGTCTGCACCGAGCATCGCCAACAAGGGGCAGCGTTTCAGCACGACTGCAGTGAGAAACTCACACCTGTGAACTGACACGGCAAAGAAGGGAGAGTGTAAAACGTTCCCCCTTTCGGAAGAGCTTGGAGATCCTGGAAAATGGCTCACCTCGGAGATGGAAAAGTCCTCCAGAAAAGGACTCGGCAACCTTAATTCATCTTGTTTCCCTTGATAAATATACTTCGTGGGAAAGTATTCGTCTTGGGAAAAAATTGGGATTTTTCGCTCCACTCTTTTACATACACTTTAACGATGAGGAAATAGATATTTTAACTTTTTTAAAAATTAAATAAAGTTAACTAATTAATTGTAGTATCGTCGGTTTACACTGTCATGTTAATTTCAGGTGTACAGCATGGTGATTCAGTTGTACATAAATATTCTTTTTCAGGATCTTTTCCATTATAGGCTATCACAAGGTATTGACTATAGTTCCCTGTGCTAGACAGTAGGACCCTACTGTTTTATCTATTTTCTGTATAGGACTTAGTCTCTGCAAATCCTGAACTCTCCATTTATCCCTCCAGCCCCCCTCCCTTTACCCCCTGGAACCGTAAGTTTGTTTTCTATGGGACTAGACATTTCTAAAGAGAGATTTATTAATGCTGTCAACGACTATTAAGAGGCCTCAAGTGTGTAAGGTAGCAGCGTAGCAAGGTGAGAGGGACTGATCAAGAGATGTAGAGATAATAAAATTCCACCTTCAGTAAAGGAGCAAAGTTCTCTCCCCACAAGTTTTTCATGTTTTGCTTACACTGGTAGCCATGTCCTCTCAGTCCCTTGCTACAAACCCAGTTCATTCTCTGACTAGTTGCATTAGTTAGATGGCTAATTCTCAGGGAGGGGATGATCCCATGTCTGGAGACAGGAACAGTGATAGTTAAGCAGGTTTTGGATGCTAACATGAACACGGTTTGACTTCTCTGTTTCTTAAGGAACCATTCACTTGATTGTTGACAGCTGCATCGACAGGGGTCAGAAATAGCACTCAGGGTAATGACTGGTGGTGCTGAAAACCTCAGCTCTGCGCACAATCCATGGCCTCTCCATGCAGCTAAAATGGATTCTGTGCCAAAGACTAGAGTGACTTCATTTGCATAAAAATGGGTGGTACAACGAAATGAACTGGGTCAGCTCATTCTGAGGTCTCCTAATAGTTGACTGCAGTTTTCCTTTAACTGCATTTTCACGTGTCAGCCGCACAGATAGCACTGATTATTAAGATCTATTTTGATGAAAACAGATTTCAAAATGCATAATTCAGTATAACCTGTAGATCAATTGTTCTTAAATTTTTTATACACACAGTGATAGTTTATTAGAGCTAAAGAATGCAGAGCCCTGTGTCTCTCTGATGAAAGCTATGATCATTCCAACCAGAGAAAAAAGCACATGCTCATTAATATTAACCTGAAATGTCAGGAGGTTTACAGATTTCCCCTAAACGCCTACAGACTTTCTAGGCTTACTAATCTAAAAGGCACAGTTGGGGTAATAGCAAGAGGTCATGTCTCAGAAAGTATTTCTCAGGCCTTAGATAGTTTCCTTAGGTAGATAATTAAAAAAAAAAATTAGCCATGCCTTTTAAACTGTGTTATTCAAAACCTAGACTTGTGGGCAGAATCAGTAATACCAATGCTTTGTCTCTTGAAGATACTCAAAAGGAGATGCAAGAACTTGTTTTTCCCTCGACTTTCCTAACAGTACCCACTAACCTCAAGTTCGGATTTCATGCCATGACTTAAATGACTCCAAGCGTTTGGTTTTCCCCACCGGCCCACCACCCCGTCCCCACGCTCTGTCGTGAACCTGAGCCCAGGTAAAAAGATGAGATACTGGGTGGTGGCTGGTGGTGACAAGACACCCAAACCACTCATGAAACCAGTAATCCTGTGGGTGAAGTCGGGGGTGGGCTTTCAAATCAATTGTTTGTCTTTACTTAGGTATCTTCTGTTTATTTCACTTAGTAGCTGACAAAAAAATCATAATCCAGGTTCAGCGAGCAGACTGCAGGACGTTAACGGCTACTGTCTATTTGGAAACAAAAAGGACACTCACCCCCAGCGGATGTGCTGCTTTCTGCAGTTTGTTGTAAGGACTGTATTTGGGTTTCGGGGGCTTCCCAGCAGCTCTGTCTTTGTGTCTTCTACTGCTAATGTGCTATTAAAAGCAATGAAAAAAATGACAGCTTTAAAAAAATCATCCCCCTAAAAAAAATCCTCATAAATATTGTTTTCACCTGAGGAAGGATATTAATTATTTCATGCAATTTGCAGAAAAGCAAAAATAAAAGAGCATGCACTTTTGTCCTTGGATTCCAATGCCTCTGATACTTTGATGCTAGCCATTTTAATCTATTTTTAACAAAGAGAAGCCTCTTCCTTTTCCCGGCCTTCCTCCTGATCACCGCTTTTAGGGACATTTACAAAGGAAAGAAATGTCTGAAGGAATTTTATGTGCAAATAAACAAAGATGGCCAGGCAGGCCTGAATTTATTTCCAGACTCATATTTACCCTCACATTTGTACAGCCAAATGTCAGCCCCTTAAATTCTAAAGATAAATAGCCAAGGTGCATAAAATCAGTCCAATAATGTACCTATGCATCTAAAACATAACCGAAAAGGAAAGCTGGGCCTGCAACTGACAACGTAAAACAGATCTGGCTGGAAGGCTATTAGGAGGAAAAGTGAATGCAACACAATTAGCCATCCCTATAGCAGGTGGCTGCAGGATTTGCAAATACAGTACACCACCATGTGATGAAGTACGTAAAGTAAAAGAATAGCACAGTATAAAATCAGCGGTTAGCATGTAAGTAGCTAAACAAGTAAAAATAGAACATGGCAATTTGACCTTTAAAAAGAATCAATGCTTCTGAGTGGGAAACTTGGTAAAGAAAAGGTCTACTGCCCCTTTTTCTCCCACTCTTCATATATAAGAGAACAGGCTCACTTCAGACCATTTCTGAAAGATCTTAGAAGCCATTCCATTTTCAGATTCCCTTAAGCAGCTAAAATATGGATAAACAAATAAGGACAGTGGATAGAAGATATGTGGATGGATGGATGGGTGGATGGATGGATGGATGATGGATAGATGGATGCACTGATGAATGGATAGAGGTATGTATGCTGGATGGGTGGATGGATGGATGGATGGATGGGTAGATGGATGGATGGATGGATGGATGGATGGATGATCAATAGATATATGTGTGTATGGATGGATAGATGGATAGATGTATGTATGTATGTATGGATAGATGGATGCATAGATGGATGGATGGATGCATAGTTGGATGGATGGATAGATATATGTGTGTATGGATGGATAGATGGATGGATGGATGGATGGATAGATAGATGGATGGATGATGGATGGATGGATAGATGGATGGATGGATAGATGGATGTATGGACAGATGGATAGATGGATTCATGGATGTATGGATGGATGCATGGATGCATGGATGGAAGGATGGGAGAGAAAGACAGAAAAGAAAGAGGACAAAGGAAGCACACACTTCTGCTCATCAGCATCCCCCGTCTGTTTCCACTTCTAGGATTCATGCCGCCTACCTGTTTAAGTTGTGTTTCCGAGTTGACGTGCACATCACAGATTTCACAGTGAAACGTTTTATTCTGCAGGCCTGTGTTCCCCTTACTAACTGGTCCTTTGCCTTTCACACCCGCACGAGGGAAGGCTTTGATCGTCCCGCTTCCGTTCCGGGCTTCTAGCATGGTTTTGTGCTTAGTACCTGCCAGGAATATTTAGGAAAAAAAAAAAGAAAGAGAGAAAGAAGAGAGGAGAAAACTCTTAGCTAGTAATCGCCTCCAGAAAACGATACCATCACATGACGTGATGCCTAGTTTGAGTGCAGGTCCTCCAGGGATGGTGGTTGAAATATACTCAAGAGATAGAAAACGATAACAATGTGCTCCGACCACCTTACACAACACTGCTGAGTTGCTCAGCTTTGTCTAATGTCCCCCCTCTACCCCCGGTTACAAACAAGCACCATATAGTAAGTAAACCTGAGAGAGTCCTGAGATGAAATTAAGTGTGTGTGATTTTGGTTCATTTCCTCTTGATGCTAACAGGACATAAATGACAGCTGATGAGGAAGAGTGATTTAGTTGCTAAAGGTACAGTTGGAGGTGAGGTATGAAAAATGTAATCAGTTTAAACGTGGTGTGTTTACAGAAGTGGCACTAGTTACATACCCACGGTGTAAACAGAATATAAACGAGCTTTCCTGGGCGTGTGGCTTAGGTTCAAAGGGGATGAGTAATTGTATAAAGATCTTAATGATGGAAAGAAAAAAAGAAAAAAAAAGCCCTGTTAGTTGAGTAAAGCCCACACTGATTGGCTATATGATTTCAAATGTAAACAAATGAATAAAAAGATGAGAGGGGAAGATTTGTGGGCCAGGCAGGTGCACTGTGAACAAATGCTTCTTTTTATTAAAACAGTCCCATCTTTGGACTGTCCCACATAACTAATGTAACTCCACTTAGCCCTAATTGTGGGTTTTATTTTCAGTCACTAAAGTTCATGATGGAAGTTTTCTCTCAAAAAATGTTGCTCACAATTTCCTTTTTCTTGGAGTTGATAAGCATTCTTTACTTGTCTCACTTAGCCACATGCTTTTGCTATGTAGTTTTCTCTGGAAATCATTTATGTCCTTTCTGCCATTCTTTTTTTTTTTAATCCTGTTTTACAGGTTTCTCCTTCCTAATTGTATTTATTAGATTGTTATCAGTTCTGGGAGCATAGGAAAAAAAAAATTCTTGACTTCTGATTCTTGGGCCAGCCTCCTCAAA